CAAGACCATGCCAGGTCTGGGGCAGGTCTCTGGGAACAACTGTAGAAGTTGGGCTGGGGCACTGCCCCACTGTCAGGCCCCAGGTGGAAGGAGATGTGTACTGGGAACAAACCTGGGAACCCAGGGCGAGAAGCAGCCATGGGAAGGACCAGCCTGCCCCCTGCACCCAGTGTGGAAAAGTGGAGGCCATCTCCCCCCAGGGACGGGCATGGCGACTTGGACAAGACTGGTCCAGTCTACCCCACCTCTGCTCAGGAGCGCTCACCTTCCCAGGCCCAAACCCCCGGGGTTCACGAGGCAGGAGGCGGCTATTTGGTGACAGATGGATTGTAATAGTCAATGTCGCCAGTGATCCCAGGGTGTTCATGGAAACCCAGGCCCCTGGGCCCAGATCCCCACCCTGAAGGCCTTGCAGACCCTCCTACCCACTTCCTTCCATGCCTTCCACTCAGGTTAGTGCTGCCTGCTCTGTGCCGGGGCCCAGGGCCTCTGCTTCCGGGCTTTCTGCCTCTAGGTGGGACGGAGCGACTGTCTGCTGGCTCTCAAAGGTGTCATTCTTCAGCCGTCTCAGCCGCCCCAGCCACAGTGACAGCGGAGCAGGAGACAATAGTGGAGACAGGTGTGTGGCTCGGGGCCTCCTCCTCCTCGCCCTCCCCAGCTCAGGGCTATAAATACTCTGGATGCAAATGGTAAATGCTGAAGACACTTTTCATAAATTACAGGTGGATGATTGTGAGTCTTCAGGCCATGAGGCCTCTGGGGGAATAGTTCAGTTCTTTAAAAAAACAAGAAACTAACCCGATGGGGTGGAAGGGCCCCTTTCAGAGTCTGGCTCCAGCAGGAGAGGCCAGGCGCTGGTGGGATGGGGCAGGGGATGGGGCGCACTGCCGCCCATCTTGATGAGTCAGTCACAGAGGACGCGCACGACAGGTCTAGGTCAGGAGCCAAACGAGACGAGAGAGAGGGCACTCGCACCCCCTCTGCTAGGTTGGAAAATTACTCCATGAGCATTATTACTTTAATATATTTTTTAATGAGTAATTTAAAGAGAGAGAACAGTGATTTTCAAACAAGGTGTGTGTGGGGGCTCTTCTGTGCACCTGCCCCCAACCCCTGCAATGGGGGCGGGTCCCAGCCCACATCAGTCCAGCAGAAAGCCTTGCCTTGAGGCATGTGTCTGGTGGGGGAGCGTGCACCAGAGGAGCTCCCCACAGTTGGAGAGGTGGGACCCTGGGCCCGGGAGGAAGCCATGGCCCCTCTGCCAGTCTGATGGAAACCAGCAGAATCACACGTCCTCGCTCTCCGCCCACAGCCCCACCATGGGCCAGGCCGGGGCGTATCGGAAGTCGGTCTACCCTCCAACAAAACCCTTCTTGCCACCTTTTCCATTCATTCTCTGCATAAAGAAGGGGCCTCAGAACCCTGGCCAGTAACCAGGGATGACCGGGCCAACTTTGAGGAGGAGAAACGGGCACAGCCTAGTTGCCCTGCATGCTGTCTAAACCAGCCCCTTCCCCTCTTCCAGAAACTCCTGAGCAGACACCAGGCACCAGGACGACTTCTAATTAAATATTATAATAATAAAAACCAGGGCGATACAGAACCGTGAACTGCATTTTAAATTCCTAGGGCCACTAATGAGCACTGAACTCCTGCTGGAGCTGTTGTCAAGACAAACACGCAGAATAGATAGCTGCAGCTGCAAAAACAAACAGAGCATGGCCTGTGCCCACTGCAGCCATGACCACTGAAGCCACCACCACTGACGGCGCCCTACCGGGCCTGCTCCCCGCTGCCAGCCAGGCAGCATCCAGAGGAACTGGTCACCCGCACAGACGGCAGGATTAAAATGACAACACTGAAACGCAAACACGAATGAGGAAAAACTCCTGGAAGGAGACTAATTTTCTTTTCCTCTTTTGACACTTTCTTCTCTGTCCAAAGGGAGGTTCTGAATTGAAGCCCGCAATGGGGAACGCCCCCTCTCTTTATGAGCAAGTGGCCTTGGCACACAGGAGGCTTGTTATCACAGGTTATACCTGCCTTTTTTCCCTGAGTCTCTAGAAAGAGTAAGTGATTACAGTTTTGTTATCTTCTAAATTAAAAAAAAAAGCTGAAGTTGACTGGGTTGGCGCTGTCTGCACAGCGGTTTGACAATTGGGGCGACAGCATAACTACTGAGCAATTTTTTGCACAATTGAAAAACTTTTTTTTTTGCCAAGGAATCAGTCTAACAAACAAACACATCCCACTCTTGCTGAAAATAATTTCTTTTCCCAACTCTTCTAGGAATAAAACACTTTTAATGTATTTGTCAGGAATCGACACTTCATTTAATAAGATTAAAAAAGTGACAATTTAAAGAGCAATTGAGAAGAGTCCCACATCCATCATGGGCTCATGGTTCTAACTAAAATCAGAAGAAAAGTAGAAAAAGCACTGAGAATATGGGAAAACAAGTGTGTGTGTGTGTGTGTTATATTATTACACCTGTTTTGAGTCCAAAGTGCTCAGCAGCAACGCCCGCCTTTAACACTGCCTTGACGGGGCGCCAGCCCTTCATGGCACATGCCCCTCATGGCACACCCCCTACAGGGCACACGCCCCACCTGGCGTGCTCAGTGCCAGCCCAACCGACCCTCCCAGGAGCTGCCAGAAGGTGACTTTGAAGGCTTTCCCCAAAAGCCCCAATGAAGTTTGCTTTTTACTCTCCCAAAAAACATGATCTAAAATGAATGGCAGGGGTTTCTGCAGTGTTCTATTTCTTGACCTGGGTGGTGGTTACAAAGGTGTCGTTTCACAGTTTGTAATTAAGAACCATCACAATGAAGCACCCCTGTCTGTCTCCACCAAGGGTCTGGCCTCACCTGACCCCCCTCAAACCAGACACCACATGGGCTGCATCCTCAGTGGGGTGGGGGAGCCAAAGTCCCTCACCTGCCCCTGCCCCACCTCTGGCTTTGGCCGAGTCTCCTTCATCACACCCACAGCTCCCAGCAGAACCAGCCTCCACCCTCTGCTGGGCTGAAGACCCTGGGTGACTGGGAATCCGTCCAGCTGCACACCAGCCCATCTTATCATCTGCACTCTCATTTAGCTCCCTTAGTCTCTTCAAGTTTTGGGGCCATTTTGGTCCAGGTGGCTCCAGGGGAAAAGTCCTCCTCGGGACCAGCCAGGGCTCTGGCAGTCACCTGATGTTCTCGGCTGCCCACTCATCCCTCATTCCCTGGAGATCCAGGTCTTGTCCTGGGCCTGTCTGGTGTGATGCACTCAACTGGGGTCTCCACGCCTCCTCCAGAAGGCACTGGCCCAGCCAGGCATACAGAAAGAGCCCTCTGGCTCCCCAAATCAGGAATTCACAGGAGATGGGAGGGAGGAAGGAAGCCACCTGAAGCTGAGCTGCCAGACCGGCACTTAGTTACCTGTGCCTGGAATGGCGATGTGTGCTGCCTGGGGCAGAGGAACCAAAAGGTCTAGAGATAGAGGGTTGGGTCAACTCTTCCAGATCCTTCCCCAGCCTACCCCCTACTTTCCCAGGTCAGCAGTGCCGGCCTCCAAGCCTGGGGTCTCCTCTTCGGACAGGTGACCCCAAAGTTTTAAAAAGAAGCCCTTGACTACACAAAACTTTCAAAACATTTGAACTCTGCCCTTGCTCTGACTTATCTGGCTCTTTTTGTTCCCCATCGGGCAGTGAGTCACTGTTGAAGGAGGTGCTGAGTGGACAGAAATTCTCGATGCTAATTGGCAACTTCGGGCTGGATGCTGACGGAGGCAGCGGCCAAGCCACAGAGAGCGGCCACTCACCGTGAGCTGGCGGCCCTGCCATTTGTTACCGGAGCTCCCTCCCACTGTGAACTGCCTGGCACCCCTCGGGGGTTCCGCTCACCCCACACAATGGGGAAATGGACAGAGAGGAGAGCTGAGAGGCAGAGGGAGACTCTTGGCCCCCCCGGGGCGTGGGGAGAAGGCTGGCCCAGGGGCTTCTCCTCCCCAGGACTATCTCCTCCCTGGCCTGTGTGCAAAGAGGAAGACAACCTTCCCATTTAATCATGCAGTTTGATGCTATTCTATTACTCCAATATTGAAAAGTCACTCAAACTAAGTTATACGAGGAGAAAACATTTAGTTAGTTGACCCATTGGCTTTTTGTACACCCACAACCAATGTGTCTTTAAGACACCAGAAAGGACCAGAAAGAAACTCCACCCCCCATAAGCCCCACTGCTCCTTCTAAGCAGGGTCACAGGGCATGCAGGGGACCCGAGTCTGCGTCTGGACGACCCAGGGGCACGGTGCGGCTCAGCTCCGGAGCCTCATGTGGAGCTGACTGCGACAGCCACCAACAGCCAACAGAAAACTCTGGAGATAAGCAAAGCCAGGCAAGAATCTGATAAAGTTACAAAGGTAGTTAGCACTGGAATGGAAATGACTTAGTCAGAGACACAGCAGAGCCAGACCCAGCTATAAGAGTCAGAGGAGATTGTTTCGAGGAGGATGAGGAGAACAGCTTCTTAGAACCGCTTGTTTTCCCTCCTCGGTGGAGTGCTGTGGTCTGGGGGAAACAGCAGCCACCGATCAGCCGCACCGTGCGGCACAGGCTCAGGGTTGTGTCCCGACACTGATCGCTCGGCCAAACTGTGGCTGTTCCCAGCAGGCTCAGCCCGACCTACAGCTGGTAGAGATTTATATACATGTAATTCTGAACGTTCAATTAGCAGGTGGCATAATAACTATTTCCTTGTCAGCCTCCCAAGCTTAAAGGCTGGATACCTTGCAGGAGTGACAGGTTAATAACTCAGCAATTCGAGTGATTATTAACTCGTGTCCGTGGGTTGATTTGCTCATTGGGTATTTTGTTGAACTTCCTCAAAGGGTTCTCCTCGTCATCCAGGTGCTGTGCCGAGCCGCATCTGTGCCTCACTGAGGAAATGCGCACAGTTATTTCTCAGCTGTACCCCATGCTTAACCGTTCCAAACTAGGGAAGGAAAATTAGAGAGTCAAAAGGGATTAAAACAAGTGATTTGCTGTTTGAGCATTTCAAAAAGATCTAGAACACCTATGATTCAGCAAATGTAGAATAACTAAAAGAAATAAAACATCATTTAGTTGCCAGGCTAATGTGTTCCATAACAGTCAACACTCTACGAAACCCACTTCCTCAAGGCTGCCTCCAGGTAATGGAGGCCGAGTAGATGCTCTTCCCTTTGAGTGTTCACATGCCGTTTTGTATTCCAACACGGACCTGTCTATTCCTTCCTTCTGTTCCCTTGCCTGGCTTAGATTAGAGAGGTAGGGTGTTACTGGCGGGCTTGATGAAGACTGAAGACCATTTTCTTCCCCTGGAGACTAGCCTGATGTGAACAAATTGAGAAAAACAACACAGCCCCTTTCTGTCCTTGGGAGAAAACCTGTTCTGTGTCTGCTTTTGCAGCCAGGTCTGCTACTCCCTGGGAGAGGGGAGGGCAGTCAGTAAAGATCCCTGCCTGGGGGGACACTGGATCTTGCCTCCACATTTGCGCCTCCTTTATTGGTGCTGCAGGCCAGGTGAGCGTGAGTTGGAGCCTGGACTGGAGGGCAGTGAGCTGCCGCTGGGAGCCTGCAGGGCGTGGGGGTCGAGCTGCTGACCAGTCAGGCTGCTGTCCCCTGTCCGCGACTCCTCGCTGTTTTCCTCCTTCTGGTTGCTCTGCTGCTCCGGACACTCAAAGTGGACACAGTGGAACACCTGGGGAGAGAAGGCAAAGACCCATGAGTGCTGGTCAGTGTCCCACCCGGGACTGCCTTGAGTTGGGACACTGTCCTGCCCAGCTTTGGGGGCCACCACACGGGAGTTAGAGGAATTCCCTCCCACTCCCCCCACCCCTGGCGCAGATGCCTGACAGCAAGTAGAAGGTGGTAAACAGAGGCACAGGCCAATGGATGGATGGTCTGAAGTTACAGACAGCTGGACAGGGGTTCCTGTAAGATGGTCTCACTGGATTGCTCCATTGTTGGTTACTTTTATCTCATAAGCTCCTTTTTCTTTTTTAATTAATTCATTCTTGCATTTGACAGTTGGGTTAAAATTCAGGGGGGGAGGCTGGCCCGGTGGCATAGCCGTTAAGTTCATGCGCTCCACTTTGGCGGCCCGGGGTTCTCAAGTTCGGATCCCGGGCGCACACTGATGCACTGCTTGTCAAGCCATGCTGTGGTGGTGTCCCACATATAAATTAGGGGAAGATGGGCACGGATGTTAGCCCAGGGCCGATCTTCCTCAGCAAAAAGAGGAGGATTGGCAACAGATCTTAGGTCAGGGCTAATCTTCCTCACACACACACACACACACACACACACACACACACAAAAGTCAACAGGGGTTGATTGTGGTGATGATTGCACAGCTCTGTGAATATACTAAAAACCATTGAATTGTACACTTTAAATGGGTGAATTGGATGGTATGTGAATTATATCTCAATAAAGTTGTTATAAAAAAAGTCAGCAGGGCATTAGCCAGGGGAGCACCCAGGCTTATATAACTCCAAGGGTCTAAACCAGCACGTCCTTCTCATGTTCCCCCTGGGCCCCCGGGAGGGGAACAAGCTCCTGATGTGCAATTATCGGCTGGGCAGCAGCACTGGGAAGGGGACTTCAACCCGCTATGGCTTGGGCCAACCTGGAATAAACGCCCTGCCCTCACGTGGAGGAGCGGGCCACCCTCTGGAGCCAGGGAAAGATTGCCTCCCCACCACTGAGTCCCTCCAGAAGCATTACTGAGAGGAATGGGTCAATCCAAGAGAGGTCCCAAACTTCAGGCTGAGGTGAGCTGGCGCAGGAGGCTGGAGCTCGGGCAGCTGAGGGGATAAGAGCGGCGGCACAGGCTCACTGGGGAGGCCGAGGGGCCTGAGGAGGGGCCTGGCAGTGGGGGATCCCAGCGAGAGGCTGAGGAGGCTGAGATCAGTGAGGGTGGCAGCAGGGCGAAGACGGAGACTTCAGCTGGAATTGGATTTAGGGGTGAGTCCAGTTCCTGAGGGGCCTGATGGCGCAAGAGCGTCTTAGAGAAAGTGGTGTGGTGGGCTGGTGATGTGACAGGAACTGAGGCTGGGGGAGCCATTCGGTCACCAGGGCCTGGGGCTGGGGAAGCAGGAAGCAGAAGACCAGCTGCTAAAACCAGAGCATCCTGGACAAACACCTGGTAAGGCCCGGACTCTCCAAACGTCACTACTTTATCCCAAGGCTTTCTCCCTTTGGTCTCCAGGCTCCTCCTAAACCAGCCAAAGGCCCTAGCTAAGTAAGGTGATGCAGCTTGTAAAGCTGTCATTGAATTTGGGTGCAAATGCTGAGGCTCAACTGTAAGTACGTAACTGGTTGGTAGTGATGCGCTTGGAAAGGGCTGCTGGGTGCCTAGAGCCTGTGTGGACAGCCATGGCAGGCCACATGGCACAGGGGCACGGCCACACTCTGAGCCCATGAGGGTGAGACACACTGCTGGCCCTCCCCTGGCCACCCAGTGCTCCCAGGAGAACTGCAACCCTCCTGCTCCCTTGGGTGGGGGCCTGCTGGCTGGAAAGGAGCCACTGAACTTTGGATCTGCCCAAGTTTGGTGAGTCCATTCCTGGATAAGGGCCCATCCGTAGGGGATAAGGCACTGGTACCCTGGGAGTGGGCAGGATGCAGGGTAGGGCTTCTGGACAGCCGCCCCACTCCCTGAGGGAGATGCTGAGTGGAGGAGGCTGCAGGGCTCAGGAGGTGCAGCTGCGGCAGAGCCAGGGGGACAGGGGCTGTCCCTGCCTCCTCCCGAGAGCTCTACATCCTCCACAGCTCGAGTGCACACCACACCACGCACACACGTTTGTACACACACCACGCACACGTGCATACATACACACACACATACACACCACCCTTCTACTGTAGAATCAAGTTCACAGAGAAGACCAATGTAATATCAACTGTGAAATTATATTTAAAATATAAATTCCGTGCTTCCCTTCCTGCATCACTATTTTTTCCACATCCCCACTCCAATTTATTTATCTACCACTGTTTCAAATTTCACCTTTCAAACTCTAATATGAAGACTAACTGAGGCCACACGTCTTCTGGTCTGTCGTCTGCGTTTGCGCAGACTTTCTCTCAGAGTGAGCTGATTTCTCTCTGTAAAGCTCAGGCCCGGCGGGGGTGCTTCCTGCGGGCCCTCAGGGCTGCAGCTGCCCCACGTCAGCCTGGTTTCTCCTTCCTTTTCCTTTCTTTCCTTCCTTCCTCCCTTCCTTTTGTATCAGAGCTCCCTATTTGGGCCCATCTGAAGGTGCTTACCTGTCAACAGCCAGATGGGAGGGCCTTTTATGGAGATTTAAAAACTGTGTTCCATTAGCTCTGATCTGAGCTACACGGAGTAAATTTGAAAATCTAAGTGGCAACTATTAATCTACTCTTCCATCAGCCTAACGTTCTTTAAGCTTCTGAAGTGACAGGACCATCTTCTGGCAGTCATCCACAGTCTCTTGCTTCATGAACACCTCTCTTTCCAAGCACCAGACGGGGGTTGGGAGATGCACCGGGGCAGGCTTTTGCCGAGTGGCCAGGGCCATGCCCCAGAACACACCTGCGCTTCCTCACATCCCACCCGGCACTCTCAGTCAAGCCCCTCCCCAGAGCTTCTTGTAAGCGAACGACTCCTGTTCTCTTTCTCAATATGACCCAGAGCCATACTTCATCCCCACGCCCATGCCTCCATCTTCTCTGAACGACGGACATTCTGAACACACTGCATTTTACTGCACCTTCCCCCGCCTGACCCCGGAGCTCTTTATCCTGCCCCCTCGTGTCCTTTAATCCGTTACTCGTGTAATCCCTGCTCGCCCGAGCTCCGTCAATATCTCTGGAGGCTACTCCTCGGAGCCCTGGCTGATGCTAATCCCTGAACTGACTTACATTTGTCCTACTCCTTATTACCTTTCCTCAAGCTCTCCCCCTCTCCTTAAATGGGTTTTCTCTCCTTTTGCTCTTGCAAGCTTCTCTTCAGTCCTCTTCATTTCCAGGCGAGCCCTGCGAGGCTTCAAGGCGCCTCCCGCCCCAAGGCCTGGCCCCTCCCTCTCGCCTCTGTCGACCGATCTGCCAGTTCCCATCTGACTCAAGGACCAAGGCTGGTGGTCTTTCTCCGGCTCAGGGCCTTGCACAGGAATAAACAAATCAATAAAAATCCTAGATTGAAAAACGAAGTTAAACAAGATCTCAGTGTGGCCGGGCTCTGGCTAACGGCTAGTTCTTCAGAACGTGCCTCTCCCCACGAGCGACGCGATCCTGAGGGGCAGGGTGCTTTCTGCTTGGCCCCGTGCTGGTGGGCAGACACGTCCACAGTGAGCACTTCATAAATGTTCGCCAGCCTGACTCCTGCTGCTGTCCCTCGTTCCCGCTGTCCTTCCCACTTCCAGCCTGACTCTCCTTTAACCAGGGTGGCGTTAACGGCACAACCGTCTTGAGCCCATTTAATCAACCTGTTTTAAAGTAATAACGCAAATGGCTGTTTTTCCAACACACCTAACAATACTGAAGCAATCTCAGCTGGCTGTTTTGGTGTTCTCCTATGGATCTTCCTCCTCGAGAAATCATAACCATTCCTCCCCCGACACCACCGAGCTCATGGCAGACCCCGCCATCTAAGGCAGAGGAACCTGGAAGCCCCTGGAAGCCCTTGGAAGCCCCAGCCACTCGCTGCCTGGCTGAGCTCCCCTGCGGCTCTGGGTGGGCGCGGTGTGACCAGGGGGCAGCGACCAGACACGAGGAGTGAGAGCCGTGCTTCAGTCTGTGACCCCAGGGTCTTCAGGGTGTCACTAAAGGACCAACTGATGTTAACGCGGGTTCCTGAGCGTCTCCAGAGAGAAAGCAGGCTCTGCTGGATTCAAAGGCAACACACAGAAAACAGTTAATTTTATAAGCCACAAACGGTGTGGTGAAGATTCTATGTGAAAAAGGGTGTTTTACAAATGGAAAAGTGGGTGAGGGCTGGAGACAAAGAACAGGAAGAGTGTGCAGTGGGCGTGGGCGGGAGAGTGAGCAGGCTAAGGGCGGGTGGAAGCTGGGAAAGGACGGGGCCTCCCTGTGCCAGGCGCAGAGGGCAGAGCGAGCGTGACATATGCAGGAGGTATGGCAGGAGGGGCCAAGGGAGGGCTTCCAGACAAAGGGTCGGGTCACATGGTGAGAGGCTCTGCTCCCCTCTCTGTAGAACAGCGTGCTCAGTCATCTCAGTTGATAACCCAACCACCAGCCCTGAACCTAACATGGCACCAGTGCAAAGCCAACACAGAGCCAGGCCCTGGACCACGGCAGACACGGAGTAGCCATCATGGTGTGTGTGCACCTTACCAACATCATCTTGTGCAAGGCTGGGGGTCCTTCCCTGGGGACCTGTGAACAATCCTGACTAGGTTCTTGGACGCGGGGGGGTGGGGTTTAAAGTGAACCTGTTGTGGGGTAACTGGCTTCTTCACTGGTGGCCACGTGATCAGGGCTGGGCCCCAAAGCTGCCTCGCGCCCCGGCAGGGGTGCACAACGGAAGAGAGGCTGTGGTGCTTCTGCTCTTGTCACACGGGAACTGGAGGAGGTCTCCCATGGCTTGGAGGGGTCCTCACTACCACAAGGTAGGGGTGCCATCTGGAAATGTGCCTCCTCTCCCACCACACCCCCAAGCTCCTCTTCCCACTCAGCACCCGAAGGCCTCCCTCCAGGGGGAACAGCCAGGTCCTG